CTAAATTTGACAGCCAAACGAGCTGTAAACACAGGGCTATCGAGAATGCCTTAGATCTGTTTTATGCTGATAGAACCTTTTCCCAATGTTTACTATATTTAGGAGTGCAGAGCTGTACCAAGTAGGCAACTGCCACATGTAGTAGTCTTCCTACAGAATCAGCATTATGACTAAATTGCGCAATTTAATAGGCTTTTGTTTTCATGTGTGGAAGCACTAGCAATCACGAGGTACAAACGGCACTAGATAGACGATTAAACTATAGCTGTCGTCTACGCTCTGGGAAAAAAACGTAGACTGCCCATTGAAGCAATAAACCTAGTGACCCCGAGACGGCGAAGATGCTTTGTGTTACATGTCCTATGTGATCCCTTTGTTCTCTATAGTTCAATTTTGAGTAGTCAGGCAACTCTTCGTACAGGGAAAATTTTAGAGCATTCCGTTCCAGAAGTAACAATGTGTTCTGATGTAGTTACTAATGGCCTAGTAGATATGCTGCTGATATAGATGAGGCTTATAGGAGATCTTCCCTTTTCTTTTTTAAGCCACAGTTTCAACTGTAATTGCAACATATTATTTGCCAACACATATTAGGGCAATTAACAGTTGAAAGACAATATATGAAACAGCGTTACGATTTTGAGTAGAGCGTGTTGTGTCACTATTTTAACATGTTGAACACCGCCAAAACGCTTAGAGCGCTGCAGAACCCTTCGTTAGAAGCAGGGATTTTAGCCTCAGCAGCTTAATGGCTTACTAAGGCTCAAGCCATTTGTGTTCATGTATCTATCAACTAACTATTACATTCTATTCTTACCTTACCTTAGAGGACTATTCTTTTTTAACTAATCATCAAGGTAATACGACCGCCTGGTGGCGCCATAACTACTCCAGCATACTAATTATTCTGTAGCAATTTACACAGGGTTTTCATTAGCTTATTAAAATGCACTAATATGCTTATTGTTTTTTATTGCACTTCCATTTTGTTTAGGCACTTTATTTGGATTTCAACAGAAAGGGTGCCTTATTCGATGGAATAATTCAAGGCGTGTAAATAGATGAGGTAGTAAATAGAACGAATCAGTAATACAACAACTTTTGAGCAACATTTTTGCAATGTGGCGCTGGTTCCCATCCCAGCTTGCAATTTCTACTGCAGTCACATCTATATCTGGGCGCTTGCGTCCTGTAATAGTTTTTTCTTCGGGTGAACTAGGGCGACGTGATAGCCTTTTAATTACTAGAGATGTTGGAAAAACTATATATCAAATCATTTATAACGCAGCCAAGTTTTGCTATTTTTGAGGTGATCGAATAGGAACCGGCATAAAAGTAAGTTTGAAAAGTAGACCAAATTACTCAATAATTTAGATAAACATATTTTGTTTAGGCTGTGAAAAGAATTATCTGTTAGCATTGGTTGAGCAATTTATCCTTAGACAGGGACACTGCCCGCTAGAATAGTAGACGTTTAAATATTTGGAAGAAATATATTGTACACGCGCTATATTATACACAAAGGTTACGCGATTTCTATATATCTTATTATATATTGTAACTATTATTTGCCTCTTTAGATATTAGCATCACGGTAATGTTCGTATTAAGAGCTTCTTTAACTTTGCGCTTGTTTTTTTATTCATCTTAATAAACCTGCCAGCTACTTTTACAGTTTAGATTCCTTCAATCACCGAAGGTCATGAAATATACATATGCATACTTGATCTATTTTGAAAAAGCGATACATCTTTCAGAACTTCAAACTTTCGAATTTAGGGATTTACGATTAATTAAAAAATGGTATACGATACACTGCTACTCAAAGCAAAACTCTCGCATTAGGCACAACCTAAGTACATTTGTTCGTCAATTGCATATCTTGCAGCTAGTTAAAAATTTATATTTAGCACATTTTTAAAAACCTTAGCTATAATTTCCGCCACATCTATAATATAATATTATTAGAAGATCAACTAGATGCGATATCGACTATCGAAATCTCTAAGCGTTACTTCCTTCCACGATTTCCGCAAATTGGTTCTCCGCAAAATTCCTTTGATATGTAAAGAAATTTAAACGGGTTTTACAGAAAATATTTATAAAGATTGAGAAAAGTTAGGTGGCAAATTAGTGTCTTTTTGCATTTAGAAGGCTATTAGAATATGAACATCGAATTTTAAAAAATTCTGCCCCGAACCCAACTCTTTTCGGATTTCACCCTCACCTAAAGTTGGCATACTTTTGTTACCGTGGAAACTGTTTGGCATGATGCTCGTAGCAACGGTCGTGAAGACACCATTGTGGTACCAAATAATTTCATATAATTTGACAAAGCAAAAACATCGTTGCCAGTGTAGCAGTTTGGGTTAGAATTCATAAGCAACCAAATGTTTTTAAGAATGAAATAGCGAATTACCTAAGTTAAAAGGCGGATGGCAAAATGATTACTTGTGAAGTCAGGGTAGAAAAAACATCGACTAATAGACCGAAGCACTACGGCAACTACATATCCAGCCGCTGCGACCAGTTACCGGACTGAAATATCACTGGAGACGCGGTTATAATGATATCAATAACTATCTATAATATGTTTGAATAAAACCAGAGAGATGTTTCAATATCCGATATGTAGGAGAAAGTTCGTTCCACAGACCCTTGGTAGGTCGGGGTACCGATTATTATACCAATAAAAGAAGTCTTCATTCAAAAATAGGTTGAACAGCTGTAATCATCCCACTCGCGATAAAATACTAACCAAAAGCAAAACTTGAATTGTCATGGACTGTTCCTGGTATCTATGTAGCCGCTCTATACCACACTCACTCCGTAAACTGTTGGACCTTACTACAAGATAGTCAGACGTTAATCTATTATGAATCAGCCGCTTTGGAGTTTTCAGAGTAACTGTTTTGCGATCTTTGATAGTTGCAGTTCGTGCAATGTTTCATGTAAATACTGCAGGAACATGCGGCATGAAAATGGAAAAATCTGCATGAGCTTTGTTGGACTTTTTGAGCGTCGTTGAATATTTAACGATAAACTATAGTGTATTTATCATACGAAATTTATCTGTCAAAGTCTGTTTTACATATTTCCATTATTAGATCTAGTGTAGTCTCTTCTTCAATCTTCTAGATCCTGATTTAGAGGTTACACTTTAATTCAGGCCAAGCTGTTCGACTTTGGAAAAGGACGCCAGTTTTAGTCTTACATCTATTGGATTTATAAGCGTGTTCCCTCGAAATCTATGAAAATCTACTCCAAGTAAGTGATCGCTACTTTTAGCTTGAGCTCATGTGATTGGTGCGTGCAGATTCCACTACAATTAAAAGTAGCATGTGGCCCTGACGTCGAAATTTCCCCTAGTAGATATTGTTTCCTACAGCCATAATGTATAGGGCATTGAGAAAATTGCGTGTCGCAGACGATCAAGCATTTAGAAAATAACCTAAAGGTTTAGTATAAAAGCAAAAGTCGTTATTCTACCCAACTTGTCAAGTGGAGTCGCAACACTGCCATGAAAGCCCCATCAAGCTAGACCGCTGTATTTCAAACAAGCGACTAATCGAATGCGTAACGGCAATCCTGGACGTAAAACTTGAACACTGAGGACCCAGGCTGGTAGTACCTGGTCTATAGTTCAAATTGTGCTTCATGATATTAGCATCTGTTCACATCAATACAACATGGTCTGAAAAGCGAAACAAAACAGAGTTCGAGAAATGGTTAAATAGCTTTCAGTCTCCATTTAAATCTACTACAATTGAAAAATCTAAAGTGAGGGGGCCATCGGTCTGTACAGTGGTGCAATGTAACAGAGCTACTGGGGTGGAAAAAGGATGATATCGGTCCGGAACATCGGTCCATCCGCATCGAAAGCATATTCACTATTTTAATGCCATGAATGGCTAAAAGCTGAAAAAGAATTATCTCGATTTACTCTTCAAGTATTGCTCAGAGCTATTCTGTGGAACGTTTGCGTACCATCAGCAGACAGTTGCATACAGCAAACCTAATGGAGATTTTAGTGCCAGGTTTCTTTCAGTAACTGTACCGGCATTTTGAGATCTGCTGAGCCCAGCTGCTCCGCACATTTACAGGTAGGCGTACGAGCGTCCACGATGAAAGTAAAAAACAACAATTTGCTTCTATTTTCTAAAAAGCATCATCGGCAGCCCGAGCGAGATGTGGCGGTACAAACTATATGAATTCCATGCAATAAATTGTATCTTCGTTTTTATATGTTGCTTGCCAAATACTATACTGTGCGATTAGCCATGTTTGGTCGACCAATTGTCTAAAACTTAGTTAGAAAGCCGTATTATGAGTTAAATACCTAAGCTTTAAATAATTTTTATTTAAATAATCATACTCCAAGCGGCTTCCTTGAGGAACAGATGCACCAGAAACAATTTAGACGCTATTAGTGTATATTTTAGATCGATAAGTGCCGATCGAATGCTTAAAAAAGCAAAACATGAAATAATCGTAATGATATTAATCCAAACAAATAAATATATTATTTGATATAACTGTGCTTATAACATGCATTTGTTTTTCTAGGAAAAGTATTTTGATAGTGGCCTGTGGGGAATTTTAGACAGTTTATTTTGCAAGCTACTTTTCAAGAACTGCTACCCACAATATTTAGAAGGCGACGCCTGAACAACAGCATGAACTTCTATGACAGATCACTACCTTCAGGTGCACACTATTTTTCCAAGATTCTCTGTCTACCCTTAGCAGGTATCGACGAAACCTTCTATGCAGTTTTTAGTCATTTCGTTGCGCATGACAGCGAAAAAATTATCTTCAGATTCCTTACATTATTTGCATTGTAGGAACACAGGTATAACGCTCTAAGCCATATTATATATAATAGTAATCCTCACATGTTTCATGTGAGGATTCTTACCAACCATATATCTATTAAATTAGTTTTGTTAATTACATATATACTTTTTTTGTTGGTTACGATATTGATTGATAGTCGCGATTGTTCTTCCTGTGTAAACATTTTTCGTTCTCACCTCTGGGGGAATCTTTTTTCTTAGAGTCTTAGAATCTTCTTAGAAATTTAATATATTTCATTGTTAAAATGAGTCAGTTTCCTGCTCCTTTTACTACTTTTCTCATTTAGTCCTGTAGAATGTGAAGCTAATTTTAATTAGTTTTCTATATAGGAAACTTTTTAACCACCTATGCCAGAGCCCGATAGATTTTAGTTCTTATGCCTATCTTAGTCTATGTGCTGTCAGTTTTCCAATGTGTCTCTCTCTCACTTTGAACTGGCCCAAACACGTGCGTACTGCCCATCACATTGAGTTTACTTAAAAATATACGCCAAAAGAACCAAGTAGCGATTAACGATGACATTTTTCAAAGTAAAACTCGTTAACTAACCGATCGGATTAACGCAGGGAAACAATCTTAGCAAACTACCCCTTTCAGCGGCAACCACCGACCCGGCAGAAGTGACTGCAATTTGATATACACAAGCTGGGCATTGCCTAGTATAGTTTAGTAGGATTAATTTCTTTTTTGTCGAATCCTAGCCATACTGAACGCTGCATGAAAAAAGAAAGCAATAACATTTTATTGAGGGGAGGTTCTTTGCCTAGACCATGTTAAGTGAAGTTCTACTAAATACATTCTGGGATCGCATATCAGCGTGCCTCGTCTTTTGATTTGCTCGATAAAAGGGCTCAAATGGGCCGAATGCTCACATTGTGTTGTTAGGATCAGTTAAAAAAATGTGGTTTTTCGCATGAAAATAGTGCAGATTTGGCGCTGCAAGAGAATACAAATCCCAGCACAGGCTACCATGCAAGTCGCTGATCTCCCGTTTTTCCAAATGCCGTTGCATGCCTGTAGTAGATATGAAAACTACCCACTCCATATTTAACCAAACTTTAAAGGTATATGCACTTACATATTTTGTACTTACGTTTCGATAAATATCTAAATCCGTAACATAAACGTACAAATAAGCACTATAATTTCTTGCCACTGTTACGGTAGCTGAAGAATAGCTGACGGAGTCTTTTTCTCAGTTAAACGTTAGGAAGCTCAGTTGTAACAAAATAAAAACAATGTTGGCGGTTATAATGATATCCACAAAGCCTTTAGTTTTGAATTTGTCTATATAAAGTTTCACTAAGAATATTCGACTTAAACCGTAGAACGCTTAGTGAAGAGTCTTCAGCCATCCAGGCAGCGCGGATGAGTTTTTGTCATGTTGGTAGACATAGTCGCTCTGGGAAATCAAAACAAAAACGAAATAGAACACGTTATCATGTTTCAGTTACTGTGTGTAAAATATTAAGGTTTTTCGTTTTTTCCTTCTATTCCCTATCTAGCAACACTATTTTGAATTTTTAATCGAACAATAGGAGGGCCTCATCGCATTTCCTGAAGTATGATTTAAGCTTTTTTTGCCATTATTGCCTTAGAAGTATTGAAAATATTTTTTTTATTTTATTTTTTTTCATTTCGTGTGATTGGAACTTTATTTTCGAGGCAAGTGAGAGCTATATAGAAAGTTCAATTGGTGATTAATCATACAATAATAGAGTAGTCCAGGGTGCGCGGTCCTAAAGAAAGTTTATTTAAGAGGATGAACAAGAAATTGATGATAAAGGGAGTCGATAAATAGGGGTGAATTATTAGAAGCAGATCGTGTTGGCGTAATCTTTATATATATATATATAAACGAAACGATATAGAAACGATAGGTAAATATTTTGCTGAACGAAACACGATAGACTTTAAAAAAATGACTCTAATTTAGAAGCGCTTTTTTTAAAGACATTTATGCGCGTTTCTGGATCAGAATTAAAGCCATTTTCGAAGTGCGCAGTTGAAACGGGCCGTCAGGAACGCTTTTATACAAAAAGTTCAGCAAATTTATATTTGTAACTTTTCGATATCAATGAAAGCTGTCGTCATGTATTTCAGATTTGGCTAGCAAGCTCTGTGCACAAGATGTGGAAGTAAACCCAAAAACATTTACTTAATTAAATTCAAAACATCAAAGCCTTTCAACTAAAAGGGAAAAAGATTTTAATCTATACTGTACATTTAGAACAAATAGGAATGCTCCCCTTTTTCTTAAGGCAAACGAAATGCAATAAATATATTGTAGGCCTTTCTATGCATTTACACTTCACTTTTTTGGACACTCAATAAAGCGAATTCCTATAAATAGGTTTTGTGACAGTGCTTAGCGCACAATGTTAACTTCTATTCGGACGGGCACCATGAAGTCTCAAAAAATAATTTGTGAGAAATGTTGCGACTTGCATCTTGCAAGCCGTGGTTTTGAAGAACTATCTTATGTCTATTTCATAATCATTCAAAAGAGTCATTGCGTAGCTCGTGAGACATATTTGCTTACTGATGGACCTGCACTACCCGTGTAATATATTTAAACCCGTGTAATACATTAAATAAACTTAAATAGAAAAGACTGAATAAGTTCGCATAATTTTAACTGAAAAAAGTGCGTTTCTTTAATATTTTGGTTTATGTACGTGGGGCTTGCTTGCAGCTAGTGTTTCTACTGGAACGAACGAATGTATTCGGTATTTAAAAGAGTCAAACAGACGAGACTTTTGTTTCTGCAAGTGCCCACTCTGATAGCATAGCAGATTTGCCTCAATGCCACGCAAAGAGCAACGTATATGGAAACAGCTTCAAGAGATAAAATGCCAGACATACGAAAGACAAACGTCACCCAAGGACGAAACTGTTACTACGTACTTGTCCTCCCATTGAACGTGGTAAGTTGTTTTCGTCAATGTATTTCCTAAGCGACTTTTTGTCGACAAACTTGATTCGATCAATGCCGTTTGCTGGTACCAGACGGCTGACAATTTTCCAGCACGCTGTTTAGAGAAAGAGATAGAAAACTTTTTTTAATTACATACCTATTCTTACTTTGTGTTTTGCTACAACCTATAGATAAGATACCAGTATTTTTTACGAGCATTTTTGTATGTTGGTTTTATTCCTTGTCCCTGGGATCTTCGATTCTCATTATACTTATATATGCAAGAATCATAATAATAGCTTCCGGTTCAATTGTGTTGAGATTAAAGATGTCGAGCATTGCTTCGAACCGCTAACTCGTTACACAAAACGAAATGCGCCTATAAGCATCCCTCAAACCAGACAAACTTCAACTCAGCCTATGAAATCATACGAAGTAATGTTCATACAAGTATAATCAGCTAACTAACATACCATGTAATATAACTGGTAACTCATAGATGAGGACAAAGTCCAGACAATCAGGATAGTAGCTTTTGAAAAGCTTTATCAGGAACTTTACGTAGCCCATATGCTGGTTGATCGTAGAATGCAAAGACTGAAGTTAGGATTTGACGTTTACAACAAATAATTAGAAAATTTTAACCATTTATATAAAATCTTTCAATCTATGACAAAAACGAGCTATTCGGAAACTGAATTTATCGAGTTGCAACGAATTATACATAGAAGAAAACTCCTTCTCCCTGTGTCTAGTTCGTACCCATATAATATTGCATTGTTTGCCTAATAAAACTGGTATGGATAATACAAGGATATCGTAAGCGATGCTACTCGAAAACAACATATTAGGATAACAGTTTTGCTTACAAAAAGCTTAAAAAAACTTATCCTTTATACAACATAATTAATTCATCCGATGTTATTTTATCCTTACTGTTTACTCAATTACCAGATTCTCTTTCCTGGCCTTTGTGCAATCAAAGAGCAGTGTAACATTGCCCTTACGTCTTATAACTGCTTCTTCCAAAAACATCACTAGATATCGATGACACAGAGTCTCCTCTTGACTATCGAACGGTTCAAGAATGAGGTCCGCTCGGAAGATAACTGCAATAGACAAGAAGTTTAAATATATCATGATAGGTTGTACAAAAAGTATTGACCGTTTTTGGATCTAAATATTTTATGTTTAATTTTGAGATAATATAACGAAACTAAGTATGCGCGGTTTTGATCGATATGCCATGCTCTCTGGCAACTGGAGCTTCAGTGATTTCCGAACAAAAAACAAGTCATTTCTCTATTGAAATTAAATTACGTTTACTAAAGAAGTTCTACAGAGACCAAAATTAATGAGAGTTTAACGGTGCAGAGCCCTGGCTCTACGGTTTATATAAGAAAGTTTCCTATCCAAGTTCTCTCGATTCTTGCAAGTAGCTAAAAATATATGTAATATGGCATCGTCATGGTGGAAAATGACACCTTTTCTGGTTACCAATTCCAATCCACATTTTTCAATCGTTTTTAGAGATTAAAAAAGAGATTTTTAGAGATCAATCGATTTACCAACTCATAATGCATTACTCCTTTCAAATCCCATGAAACATCACCTTCTTTAACGTTAATGGGTTTCCCACAGGTTGTAGAACCTATTTTTTTCCCTTCACAGATTATTGTCGTATATGATTAATTTTTCATTATCCGTGATCAATGGTTATAGAAATAACTTGATTTCGCTGCGGTTCAGTAGAACATCGCGAATGAAAATACGATAATTTTTCGTGATAATTCGTGTAACACTCAACCATCGAGCTTTCTTTTGCGGTCAGCCTTCTTCAGATTTTAAAATTTCTGGAACGAAAGCTACAGAACCGTCTTTGAGCCGTTCTATCTAATAATGCGCCTTGACTATAAGTAGCATAAAATGTATATACATTTTTTGCGAGCTTGGGCAGCATTTGTGCCCTTATCGCAATAGGACTGCAAAATATAGCATCTTTTTGCAGAAATTTTGCTCCTATTTAAGCCGCTTTAGAATTAAAACATTTCAACAAATTTAACGCATCTACTAATGCCAAATCTCTAGCACAAATGACTTATTTACCTGAGATATATAGGAAAATGTTTTCAACAATCCAGTATAATTTTATAAGATGGTCAGGGAGTTGGACGGATATGATTGTCTAGCAAAGTATTATTATATTCAAGTCTGCAGCCAAATTAATTACGGTACTTGATAAAAAAAAAGTTGGAAACGAGTTTAAAAAGTGAAATAAACTTTGATAGGAATGGTATGTTTCTGCTAAGAGTAACCAAAAACGCGCAAATCTGTTGTCCAATATTATTTCTTTTGTGCTCGTGACCAACCTTTAATTGTCGGTAAGAAGGAGATTTTGTCTCACATCGGCAAACTTATATAAACTTGATTTTTAGGAAATGAGGCTTGACCCTAGTTACGAAATGGTGGGCTTGATTTTAACCGGAAAAGAAGAATGCCTGCCTTGACTTTATGCTAATTTTCCTCACCCCTATAGAAAGTTACTCTAATATCGCTCAAGATACGATTTGTATTTTAATTTTTTTTTTTTACATTTAAATTTGAACATTAATTAGCTTGTTCGCAGTAGACCGAATAGAGCAGATGGAAATTTCCAAATCATACGTGTCTCATTTTAGCAGGGCAGTTTTAGACAGGCGAGAGACAGTACGCAGAAAGAATGTTGGCGTTTCAAAGAAAACAAATGCATATCTAATAGTGTTCATGTGGGGAACTTTTATTTATACAAAAACTATATGTTGTGAGATAAAAAAAAGGTTAAAATGATTTGACCGATCGATAATGTTTTCTTCCTATAAATCTTCACAGTGTAAAGCAGATGCGTAACTGCTTCCGTTATATCCCAAGTTAGCTGTGACCTAAGAAGATTAAGAAATCACTTAAACATAGCAAAGAAATACCTATGCTATCGACATCCTACGTTTAGGTTCTGCTTGACATAACCATATCTTATTAACATCACATCCATGTTATATTACTATTATAGACTATTAAATTGTTCCCCATGTACATAATTCATACATACCCCTGCTTCTGCCACTTTGTTCCGTCCACCGCCTAGCATTGCTTCTACACAACTCAGATTCACCTTCTAAAATTTAAATATTTTTTTTCTTCTATTTCCATTCCGTATTCGTCAGAAAAGACTTAAATGTAACACATATATTTGAAATAGTCTATGTACATCTTATATTAAATATATAAATAAATAAATAAATTCTATTAAATATTTTAATGGTAATGCTATTATACAGATCTGGGTTAAGAGTTTAACTAATTTAAAAAGAGGAACAGTTGTATTATATTAAGGTGCTCAAAAAATGCCGATGTAAAAACAAACGGAAACTGTAACTATAAACTCAGCCAGTCCGACCATTTCGCAGCACCGATTATTAATAACGGCTTAAATATTTAGCATCCTCATACATACATTGTATTTTTTAGAGGATGTCAGACTTCGGCGCGCAGCTATAGCATTTCATAACGAGCCATTTTCGCCAGACTTCATGCTTCGAACAAACTGAACAGTCATAGTTATTTAGGCAAATTCGCATACTTCGTGTGCCGTTGAAGTCCTAAGGCCACTTTTGCATTGACGTCTTGGTCGAAACACTTCAGTGAAACAGTGGCTGTCAGGCAGATTACCTTCAAACAGTGTTAGAATGATGACCGATTATGCACCGCCCCGTGTCAAGCGAAGACCTCACTTTAGGTGAAGGACAGATATTTTTTAATAAATATCTACAACCTATACCAGCTAGCTACAAAACGCAACGAGCAATTCAAGAGAACAAATCTAAAAAGCAATGCGATTTTTGAAATGAGTGTTCATATCGCATGTACGAAAAATTGAAAAAAAAACTCTACAGTGACTATTGTCAATAAATAAGTTGATATTGCTAATATACACTTGTTGAGAATTATCGGAATGAGTCGTAGTGGATAAGTAAGCTAAAACAGCAGAATATGGAGGCACAGTTTGACAACAGCGCTTAAAGAGAGAGGGAAAAATGGCCAGGCATTCCGCTGGGTAAGAGATTGACGCGGGCTGGAGACGCATAATGAGCTACGGTGGGTCAATTCAACGACAAGTCTCTAAGGATACCGATGGATGTTAGAGAGCGGAACATTGATGTTTTCTGTTTCTGTAAGCACAATTGGTGATTTGGATAAATGATTAAAATGAGCTCGGCATAATCCTAAAGATCGCTCTGTTGTCTAGCCAAAGTTCATTATGTATTAAAGTGTATATTTGAGACAATGAAATTAAATTTTGGCTGTACTAGTTATAGAAGTTTCTTCTTCTGATTTTAACTGACATATAATGGGTTATGTATGATACATAATAGAACCGCTTTGTACATATACCTTCGACTTTAGGAAACTAGAAACATGTCACCTATTGCGGCTACTGAAGTCAACTCGCTGTGTCTTTCTTTGTTTCTCTCTGAGTTTATCATCATCTACGAAGAGCTCCTAGACCTCATTGTGATACTGCTAGCCGTCAGTCTGCTTTTAAAATGCGGATCGTGAAGACAATTATGCTTATGTAGAAAATTACTTTTCACTTTAGTAGATATTACTAATGCCAAACGTAAACTACTTTAGACAAGCGTTGCAGGTTACAGATTCATATGAGACACATAGAGTGAGGTAATTTTACGCACAGACAATTAGTTGATATATCAAAATTTCTTGCGGTTATAAATCTAAAAAGCCATCAGCTAGATACACAGTTTCGTCGTAATACGCGACGATACATGACTTAAACAATTTACCTCGTCTGCCTGTCGCCGTCTATGCTTACTAGTTGATTCCTCTATTTATTAAAGGTAAATCTAACCGATCTTCTAACGTGATGACCGTTACAATATAAAATTAGAATTCATTCTTGTAGTCATAGTAAAAATCACTTGGTGACTTCCAAGCGCTTTTCCAGAGTCCTGAATCTGAAGGATAATAACTGCAATATATATTTTTAGCTGCTCTTCACTGAGATTAAGAAGTTATTTAATTGAACTACAGAAAAAAACACATAATAATTTTGTTACGATGTGAGGCGTTGTCTCACAACCTCTCATCAATTAGATTATCTTGCACTAGTAGGACGATTGTAAGCTCTACCTCTCCATATACATCCGCATTAAGAAATTTAACACATTCTAACATGTTTAACGAAAAACATTATTTAAGTCCACCCATATTGTTATTAAATTATACATTAAAAATTATAGGTTTAATATATATTATATATTAAAAACAATAGGGTAGCAAAAATTACTTGCATTCTTCATTAAATGAATAATAATAATGACTTCTTTATGCTTACTTAAAATTGGAAATATTTACACATGACATA